TAGATAGCATTCTACCTAGTATTCTGCCAAAATGTAACCTATTGATAAATCTCATCTCATGTTGGTCTCTCCTCTCTCTCTAGTCTCTTGCTGAGCATTAATTAACTCACACTGCGTATTTTTCTTATAGAAAGAATACGAAATAGAGTCTTGCGTGTAAATCAAATCATCCTCTATTTGCTGGAGTGAGATGTGAAAGGAGTCCTCTGGAAAGTTCTTTTGAGATGGAAGTCAGCAGTACCACGCCCTAGACTTGGTTCTAATAGAGAAGTTTCGGGCCTCCGTCTCCTCACCAGTAAAATGAGAAGCCTGGAGCAGATGATCTTCAAGGTTCCTTAACAAACCTAAAAATATTAGGTCATCTAGAAAGTTGTGACATGTTTTTGTATGCAAAAATACATCATGACTTTCTCAACAACCCAATATATCGCTAACATGCTTTTGACACTGGGTCAGCAGGTGGCATGGTGGTTAAGGTGTTAGATCCCACAGAACTCCACAGTTCGAGTCCTGGGCCAGCAGCCTGAAAATCATTCTGGGTACCTGTGTGCACATGCCCAAAATCCCGAGAGGAGAATGGAAGAGAAGGAATTGCAGAGTGACCATTCTCCCCTAGCGAGCGATTTCTTGCTTTCTCTCTCTCTGTCTGGTGAGTACACATGCCCTATGGCAAAAATCTAAGGAAAAAAAAAAAAAGGTTTGGCTATTTTATTTGAGGTTTTCTTGGTGAAGAATACACCCGCCTTTCTATTTTTTGCAAAACTACATTCCTTTCTTGCCCTAGGATAAAACAGATTCATGAAAGACAAATTGGAAATAGAGACATGTAGAAAGAAAACAGGGGGAGGCACTCATAGGCTCACCACCTTGAGAGGCAATCGCAGATCCTCCTCAGCCCCTTCCCCTGCAACCCTTTCTCCGTTGCTTCCGCCGGTTCAGCCACTCCACAGGCAGGCATGAAAGAAGCATCAGGTTTGTGTACTTGGACTCCAGCCACATTACTTATGGCTGTCTGCCCCTATAGACATCACAGTGCAGCTTGGGGAAAAGAGTTGTCCACATTTCCAGGACACAGGATGACAAAAGCATCTACTTCTACCAGCCAGAGTCTCCTCCTCCAGCAGCTAAAACCAACCACCTAAATGAATAATCAAGAAAGGAATGAGAGGGACCAGCAGGTGGCGTGGTGGTTAAGGTGCTGGACTCTCACATGGCTGACCACGGTCTGAGTCCTGGATCTGGCAATTTGCTTTTTCACTTTCCCTCTGTGTGTGTCTCTCTCTACCTGTCTGGTCAAATAAAAAAAATAATAAACAAATAAATAATTTTTTTAAAAAAAGGAGAAGAGATGAGGAGCAAGCTTGGGGACCAAATTCCAGTTTCCCCTACTTTGGAAGAGAGATGCTTCCTGAGATAGAAGACATTGCAATAAGAAGCAGACACTCTTCTGTTCCGTACATCCCCCAGAACCATGATAAAATACTACTGAGAGGGAAACTTGGACTTCCTCCAAGCGCAGGCTCCCTAACAGGCTCACAGAAGACAGCAGCAGGTTGTCACCCTTCCACTGTGGAGAAGGTTGCAGATGCAGACAGATGTGCACAGGAAAGAGAACATGAGCCCCAAAGTATACTATCCTATTCCTACCAGGTAAGAAGATAGAAGCAGAATAATAAAGGAGGGGGCACCAGTGCTAAGGGCCCCCCTAATGATGATTTCCAGTCAATCTGTCCTTTGCTCCAGCTCCTGCCAGCCAACGTACAGAAGAGGCAGCACGAGGATGGTCCCAGCAACCCATGACCGCATTTCAGCAGAACGACTGCTGCGCCGAGAGATTGCTCCGGCCAGACTCCTCACAGGTGAGAAATGCAACAGGAGCATAGAAGACCCGGAACTCTGGTTTAAGCAGCCAGCTCTGCTCTATGAGAAGGGATGATAGGAAAGAGCCCTCGGGGACTGGAGGCATCTCCCATTCCCATCCTTCACAGAAACTAGGGAAAAGTTGTTCAACTACAGGAGGAAGACTATGATCCGCAGCGATCACGTCCTGTCTGCTGCTGTGGATGCAGACAGGCTGGGGACGAGTCCCTGCAGCTCCTCTGCGCACGAACACGCACACACTCACGGGGAAATGGTCTGCTGCAGTACTGAGTGACAGGAGAGCCACGAAGGCAGACGGCACCAGAGATCCTCCCCGGCAGCTCCGCCAGAACCCGGTGCTGTTAGTTGCTCTAGGTCTAGAGGCTCCTCCCTAGTTTTTGTTCTGCAGTTGCAATGGGAATCTCTTAAGGATATCCCAAATCCTCTCATTCTGTGCAGTTTCTCTGAAGCAAGAAAATGAGCAGGTGGGGGAGGTGAAACTTACATAAGACTCAGGGTACACAAGGCTTTCCTGGACTGGGCACTTCAGCCTGAAGGAGGAGACCCATGGGACTGGGCTGGGAGAAATGAAGCAGTTTGGAGTCTCCCTAGAGTTCCAGGGCTCCGGGCAACACTTCCGTTCTTTATCACAGCTTTTACAAGAGGAAGAAAACAGGCTGGGTCTCAGCCTCGAGGGAAGCAGGGACCCCCTTGGGGATCTGGTTCAGAGACAGCTGGTCTCTGTATACACCCAGGTGGCTGCCTCTGGGTTTTATAAATACTCATCCCTGAAGCCCCGCTTGGCTCTGTATCAGGAGGCAGCTTCGACGGCTAAATTGCAAGGTAGAAGCAGTTCTTTCTGACAGCCGGGGAGGCTGGGCTGGGGTACACTAATGGTCCTCACCCGAAGAGCCTGCTCTCATCTTCCACCGAGCTCCTCATCGAGGCTAGCCAAGTTCACTACTGAGCCAGGAGGGTCCCTGAGACTGGACTTCCCCCCCAAGCACCAAATTGCTTCCTCTGCCATAAAACAGCTTTGTGGCAAATGCCACCCTTCATGCCAGCCCCCAGAGTGTGTCCTACAGAGGGGCTGAGCAGTCCCTGCAAAAGCACCGGCCAGCCACCCATCTGCATGCTGGCATGGCCCCCAGTCACAAACTCCCAGGGGATGGCTTAGATTACAACTTTCAGATTTAGAAACTCGGGTGGAGGGAGTGGTTTGAACCTTAGACCTCAGTGAAAAAAGAGCAAAGAAAATCTCTCTTCTCACGTTAGAGCTGCAAGCAGCAGGAGGAAAGAAGGTTGATCCTTTTTTTCTTTTTCCTTTTCTTTCTGAAAGACATCTATGGTCACAGTCACAGCCAGCCGAGGGAAGGGAAAGCGCTTCGGTCCATCCGCATCCCCCAGACTACCTGGATTTTCCAGGATAAAGTTAGTGGACATAACCACCCAGACAACATGGCAGTTGGCACTGAGGCTCCCTGGGTGACAACTCTTGGAGCCAGCAGAGCTTTCTACAAAGATCTTCATCTTTTTGTGTCTAAACTGGGATCCAGGTTTTGGGGTCCCATTCCTTCACTAAGCCACCTGGGAATTTTCATGCTAGTTTTCTGTATTCTAACTGAGGAAAGAAAAGAAAGAGGGAGATAACACGCAGCTCACGGATGGTCTCCTCTTCCAGGCGTCAGGCGTTTATTACCCGGTTTAATCATTAGAACCGTCAGTATTGTCCCCATTTTACAGATAAAGCTGACACACAGGAAGGCCCCGGAGGCCACCTGGCTAGTGAGCAGGAGGGCTGGGGTCTGGGACATGACTAAAGGAGACCCGGGTACCAGGACAGGGGCTGCAGAGGGCAAGCTTGGCATGCCACTGCCACTGGCCTCCAGGGGAATGAGCATCCCCGTTCCTGGATGTGAAGCTGTGGATGCAGAGACAGTCCAGTTATGGGCGGGCTCTTCCCAAACCCTCTGCTTTGACCCCACCCCACGGACAGCGGTCTTTGAGAAGGATGAATCAGTTAATGGACCCGGTCTGACTGGGATGAACGCCACACAGCCTGCCAGAGACCCGGGAGGTAACACGCACTGCAGAGGGAGGTCCACTCTTGAAGGGGACATCTCCCCAGGAGCATGGGTCCACTATAGGGGCTTCTGGATACCAGAGATGTCCCTCAACACTCCTGGCTGAGAGTGGCAGGCAGGAGGCCCCTTCCTAGAAGGGGAAAGA